TTAGTGATTTGTGTCTTTAAAAAAATATCTTAATATATGGGGCTTTTTAATAGAAAGGGAAAAGATTTCTTTTAAGTAAAAGTTTTTTAAACTTTCAATTAAAAAATCTCAACAACTATTAACCTAAATTTAATAAATTTTTTTTTATTTTAATTCTATAAAATTATAAAATTAAAAAAAAAATTTATATTAGATTTAATTTAGTAGTTATTAAGATATTTTAATTTAAAATTTAAAAAAGGTTACTAAAAACTTTTTTCCTCTTTTCAATTGAAAAGTGTACATATTTTTTATTAGCTTGTTTTATAAATAGATCTTTTATAAATAATCTATAAATAATCTTAAAAAACTTTGTAAAAATGCAAGGTTAAAACCACCTATAAAGTAATGCAAATATAAATTAGAGCTTTAGAGGAGTTCTATTCTAAAGTAGTATATAAAGCAAAGATCAAAAAAATTAATTCTAAAGCAGTTTAGAAGACCAGCTCTCTAAGTTCATATATACAATAAAAAGAAATGCTAAATGTGTTAAGGTTAAGCAAATTATGAACAACCTTGTGATGCAACATAATATTCCAAAAGTCTTGTTATAAGTATTTTTATAATGCAGTACTGTTGGAGTTATGTAGAGGTAACCATTATTCTCTACAAATCAATAGTTATACATAAAATTTTTAATTACATGAATAATATTATCATCTAAATTATCTCTTAAACCGTTTGAAATTCAGGGCAAATTTGCCTGAAATTTTCCGAAATTCACTTATATTACAACTGCGCACAAAATAATAGCAAATATGATACAAAACTTTATACCGCAATATAAAAATACTATAAATTTTATTCTTTATATTCATGATACTCAATAAAACAATCTGGACATTGCTTATTGAAACATAAAGGCATATTATATGTTACGCATCACACTTGACTTTGTGGTGAATTTTTATTATGTTTTTCTTGTTCGTCATATTTTGAAAATGGCACCAAACACAGGAACCTCTCTGTTCACGATATACTGAGTAGTACTTTGTAGAAGTAATCATTCAATAGGTAAGCCAAAATTTTTTGTAATATAAAATGGCCTATATAAATTTTGATTATCCTGTAATTCTGACTGAATTATTGCCTTTTTTTTCTGTATATATTGACTCGTTTGACTCATTTCAAGTGACTCTTTTACCAAACTCCATGCTAAGTTTATCCTAAAATTTTTGTGCATCGTTACTAAGTTAAGCTTTTTTGAAATTAGAAAAGTATTAACGATGCTGGTATCCAGGAGCCAAAAAAATAATGGTATCCAAGTGCGACGTACAGGAACTTGCATACAATAATAACCCCTTAATTGATTGGCTATGTCAACACTACCCATATGTTAGTTGTAATCATCTATTACAGCTGATATAGGAAGAACTTTCTTACTTGCATTACCAAACACACTACGTACTTTCATAGCATTTGTACTAGTTGTTCGTGGCCTTCTCCTTTCTCGTTCTACTCGAAATTCTTCACTTGAAATTTCGTGTATGGTCGTTAACATCATCACTGGACCGTTATCCATCTAAAACACAACTAAAACATCATCCACAATAGCTTCAGAAAGAGTATCCCATTCTAATTTTTGCGATTTTTTTATTTTTAAACAAGTAGAAAATTTTGAAGTGTTAGTTCTTACTGTTTTGCAGCCACCATACCAATTTTTTTGCATATGACTAATAGATTAATACTTGTAAAAAAATTATCTATATAAATATCAAATAATTTACCCTTTGGAAGTTGAGATATCAAGTGATAAACCTGCCAATCAATTTTGTTAACATTCGGAATTGGATTTATTTCAGAATTAGATTTGATAAATTCAATACGGAAAGTAAAAACAAAACAATAAGTATATTCCGAATCGCATAGTGAAAGTATTTTGTATCCCTCTGGTGTGGGTTTGTTTTTAATTCGCACTGTATGACTGCTTCTTCCCTGAAATCTGGCCACCATTTCGTCGATTGAAACTTGCAATTTTGGTAAATATATCGATTTAGAAACTTCTCGAATATGTGTAGCCAAGGGTTCAACTTTTGAATACCATGGTAGTTGCGACATTTTTGTTTCAATTTTTGCGATATGAATATATTGCTTTATCTTTTATTTAAAAAAAAAACATTTAATAAAATTAAAAAAAAAAAAAAAAAAACTAAAAATAAAAGTAACTTGTTCAAATCGAACTAAGGTCATATATTTGGTAATTCTATGTTGCAGGTATTTCCAATCCGTTTCCAATAATCCTCCCTGCTTGGTAATTTAAACATGCCCATATATATTATCAGAGCAAACTATATTAATAATTCTTTGATTGTCAAAGAAACCCATCCACATCCTTTACCAGCTGATTTTGCAATTGCATAATAATTCGTATTTTCAACAATTGTATCTAATTGAAAATTATAAAAAAATAGATGAAAAATCGAATATGGAGTAATTTCACCAACAGCTAATTTGTCAGTTACTTTTACTTGAGAAATATGATGTGGTTTATCATGTTGAAATTTTTGAAATAACGGTGGTAATGGTAAATTGAACAAATTGGATTGAGATACTTTTTTTTTTTTTTTGCTCGACTATATTTATTAGTTTTAATGTTTTTTTTTTATTTTTAATATTAATGGCTTCTTCTTTAGTTTCATTCGTAGTTTCTTCTTCAGTTTTATTGGCGGTTTCTTCTTCACTTTCTTTGGCAAATTCATCTTCAGCTTCATTACTATCATCGTCAGTAATATCTCTAATATTATTTTTAATTTCATTTTCAATATTTCATATAAGCTCAAAAACATATGGGTCTTTATCTTCGGTATCATCATCTATACTGTATGTCTTGCTGTTTAAAAAATAGTATTAAAGTGGTACGTAAAAAAGAAAATAACAGATAAGTAATAAAAAAATTATGATGATCGTAATCGGCTAATAGAATATGATCGAATAATTTCCAAAAAAAAAGAACAATGCCATATTTAATACTAGAAATAAATGAATTTCTAAATAAGTAAAAGTCAGGATTTTCAGATTAAATAAGATAAAACTTTAATTTTTACTGTGATACATGTACTACATCAAGAACCAATCAAATTTCAAAATTTCAGGGCAAATTTGCAGGAGAAACAGTTTAAGGGATAACAATTTTGAGTAATTTTGACCCAAATATTGGTTATTTGCTGAATAATATTGACCAGATATTTTGTTATTTATACAAATTGTAAATATTTGGCATTATGTAATTTTGCATTAAAAAATAACAGTCCGTTGCTGCGCCATGATCAAATGAGTTTGTCAGATAATATATCGATATATGTATATAAGTATACAGTAGATTAGTAAAATTATGTATTTGGGCTTTGTCTGAATATTGGCCTGAATCAAGTTCAATTTGGTTATGGTTAAATTCTATTTAGGCCATTTCTAGTTGATTAAGTCGATATTTAGGCTCAGGCATGGGGGATTTAAACAAACAAATGTAGTCCCAAGAATTTTTATCAAATCTACATTAATCACATGATTATGAAGTTTATGCTGCATTGTGATTGGCTTGTTTAATTTTCGGGGGGAGGCCGTTAAGGGGGATGACGTTAACGTACAAACCAACTAAAAACGGCCTTAATCTAAAATTTTTTTTTGTTCAAAAAAATTTATTATGCCCAATTGAATTATTCGGACAAATTGGACATTATCCAATATTATGACATGCCATCCCTATTTGACCTCACTAAAAATTTTACATAATACATCATATGTCTGTTAACGTTAAAAGTGTACATACGAAGATACTAAGTATTTACATGTGCATGTATGCTGCGTACTTGGATTTGTTACGTAGTGCCTTATACGTAACAAATAAAAACTTTAAATTGTACGTATGGATGGCGTTAACGATGATAGTTTGCATATTTGGAAATATTATTTTTAATTGCTTGCACTAGCCATGCGGGAGGTTGTCTCCGGGTTCCTCAGCCACATTACAGTAAATATTCAAGTGACCATTATCATTATAATCATATGTATGCACATGCAGTTTTTTGTGACGCTAAACTTTATTTGTTACAATGTTATTTACGTACTATAGAGTATCAAAAGAAAAAAGTTTAACCCAGAAAATTCTACGTGCAGTAAAATACATAATGCATATTTCTGTTAAAAAGAAAAAAAGACTTTATTCGCATTAAATGTAAAACTGAACTTTGGGTAACACCTTTATATTGAATAATGTTGCATTGAATTAAACTCTTACTTAAATTCGCATATAATTATATTAAGCGTGAAACAGCATTGAACCATAAGAACATGTCGAATTCATGCTAAGCTCAAGCCAAAGTATACTTTAAATTTTCTAGTTTAAATTGCTTAAACGACAGCCAGCCAGATTATATAATGATAATTTTATCAATCTAGGTTTTAGATTCCTACATATGCTGTGGAGTCCTTCAAATAATGTCAGAGATCTGTTAGCTTCGATGCATGTTCTATAACTCCGGAAAAAAAGGAATACTACTATCTTGCTTTGTTTAAGTAAACTATATGCACGAGTGTATTATGTATGTCAAATTTAGTATATGCAACATTTTTTTGCATAAAATGCTAGTCTAATATTGTTATAAAGCAGCAAAATTGGCATAGCGTTGACAAGGATGCATATTTCCGGGAAATACTAAGCTAATGTGGTTCTATTGGATCAAGTCCACGTCAGGTGGCTGGTTGAATTTCCCGGAAGGGAAACTCTAAATAAAATTTAATGGCGTAATACTGCCACAGTTCGATTTCCGTTTCGCCAAAAGACATCAAATATTAGCCATCATTCAATAATAGTAGCACAAATTCGGAGAGTTGTCTCAGTCGAATAAGCTAAAAATTATTTTTTTAAATAAAACAATTAATATACGAAATGAATACAAGCTTTTTTTATTTAAAGGCAATGCCTCCTTGATCTTTGAATCCTCACTGAAGACTTCCAAAACATTATGTCATACTCATTGATGACAGAGTCAGGGGAAATGCAATTCATTTTGAATATTTCTTCCGAGATGGGAAGCCCTGAAATCTCATTTGAAGATGAATTGTCCAATAGTCCTCCTTATCCATTAACACTTAAATTCAATGAATTAATTGCACCTTCAAAAACATCGCGAACAACAAGAAGACATGAAAAAAATCCCGATTCATTACCACCACCAAGGCCTCAAAATGCTTTCCTTTTATTTCGTAGAGATTTTAACGAAAAATTAAAGCAAAGAGGAATAAAATTGAAATTTGTAGAGTTCTCTCGTTTGGCAAGCAAAGAGTGGCGCAAGCAACCTCAAAAAGTTCGTTGTTTTTTCGAATTTCTCGTTGATTCGGCTAAAAAAAGACATCATCAAATATATCCGGACTATACATTTTCGACGAAAAGATCGAAAAATAGAAGGGGTGAAAAAAAATTAAAAAATACTAAAAAATCTTCTAACGCTCATAGAAAAGTAATACCCGAAGCAACTCTAAATAATAATACTACCGAAACTGGTCAAGTAATCTCGAAACTTTCCGATGCTTTCGCAACTTTAAATATTCGTGCTACCGAAACTAGTCAAGAGACCTCGGATCTTTCTGAATTTTTTGATTTCGATGCTTTCTATTCGAAACGTTAGCTCTTTCTCAAAACAAAAATTTTTTCGCAATTTACATTTATGAAATTTATTGTTTATTATTGTAGCGAGACATATAATATGGCAAAAAAATATATGCATTATGGTACAAAGATTTGTCTTATGGTACAAAAAATTATGCACAAAAAAGGGATATATTACTACATATGACAAAAAGGGATATATTACTATGACAAGAAAAGGGATATATTACTATAGCAAAAAAAAAGAGGACCATTTTTTAACATCATTTTAGAAATTACAAATATGCCGAAAAATTGGTGATTAAAATATATATGTCGTGTTTTTAAATATTATAGTTATTTGTTATTTGTGGTGGCATTTTAAAGATTTTTAAATAAAATATTTAAAATAGAATCTTTGCCGTATAATACCATGGCAGGGACGTATTACATAAATTACTTTGTTACGTTTTCATGTAAATTACATTGTAACTTACGAAATTGTAATGTAACTTTACATTTAATAGAATAGTGCATTGTCACATGATAATTTTACCGACATTACAAATGTTTAGGCAGCACTAATAGATATCCATCATTATGTTCGGAATTTATTTTTAATGCAAGCGTTATAAAAATTTTGCAAAAATTATTCACATGATAAAAATTACATGTAATTTTGATTTTCAGAAGATTACACAAAATTTCGTAAAAAATATATATATTCTTTCTGAAATTATTGTCATTACTGTTACTACTGTTACTTTTAGTGACTTCGTTGGCGCCGTATCTTACTCAGATAGGCTATGTGCTGAGAAGTGGGTCCAAATTAACATATCAACCGATTTGGTTTGGCCCCAAAATTAGCCAATCATGATTGAGAATTATTTGTCGTTAAAATTTATTATGGAGTAAGTTTTTACAAAACCGGTTTTTTAAGCTTACTTTGAATCCATAATTAAGTGTATAAAATATTCAAATATCTACATGTTAAATTATTGGATGAAAGTAAGTTAAAAAGGTCGTTTTTCTCAAAAATTGCCTCCGAATTCACCTTTACACATTATACAACCGATCAAACAATGACAAACCGATCGTTCACTGCCCGAAAATACCCGAATGCTTCAACAACTAGTGATAGTGCTTTCGTTATAGCTTATAATAGCTAGTTTTTTTAGTATTTATTGCTTAGTTATCTCATATAGAGGCTAAAAAAACATTTTAATGAATGTTTCGTTTGTTATTCTTCACTTCATTAAATGGCAAAAGTTCTTGTAACAGTATATAGAAAAAAGACCCCTAAAAATCCAATCGTTGGATATGTCAAAAATAAGGTTAGCGAAAATTAATTTTTAAATTATAAAATTTATACAGCGCACGATATCTAAAGACTTAATATTTCAAAAGCTAATAACTTATGATACGGAAAAGATATTAAAAAAGAAACCACCAAATTGTATCCTAGTTAATTTACTACATCTTAGCGGTCTTATTTAAAATAATCATTTATTTTTAATTTGTAATATCTTTAATATGCTTAATTTTTGATATGTCACAAATTTGACAAATAGGACAAATCACATGTTTTGGCTTCTTGCTATTGGCTAAGTTTTTAAAAATATTTTTTAGTAAAAAAAAACAATTTTTTACCAATCAAAAAATGTAAGAAATTGAAAATCCAAAATTTTATAATCACAGCTCAGTGCAGTGACCGCTGATCAACGGTTAATAGACCATAGCTGCGTTGTAGTGCAAGAAACTGAATTTCAGCTCAATAACTGTATAATTAGAGTTTTTTAATACCGTGGCTAAGTGACTGGAAATTGTGCAATGACCACTCGACTAATGAATTAAGTATCGTATATCAATGGTATTGGTAGTTGTAAGGCGCGTAACATTGCAAGGACCTTAACATTACATAAAGTCTGGTATTAATAGATGTATGACTCTACGGCTACATAGAGTGTGAAGCTCAATAATTATTTGGTATGTAGTGTCTGGTCAATATTTTAACTTGGATACGTATCACTTCACCGACATTCATTTCGTAGACATAACATTTCACCGACATTCATTTCGTAGACATAACATTTCACCGACAAAAATTCACCGACATGTTTATTTCACCGACAATTACACCGAAGCTCATTTCGTAGACAAATTTTTTTTTATAAATTCCACTAACCTTAACCCTAATACTAACCTGACCCTAACGACAGTGACCAGAATTATTTTGTCGGTGACATAAGTTTCGGTGAAATAAATTGTCGGTGAAATGTTATTTCTATGAAATAAGTGTCGGTGAATTGAGCTGAACCGTTAAACTTTTGTATCTTATGCCGTTAAAAGCATTAATAGATATAAGGTTCCGTAGCAGTGCAGGACCTTAATTGCAGCTCATTGACTATGAATTAGAGTTTGCTTGGCTCAGTGACTGAAAGCAAGCACGTATGCCGATGGGCATTGGTAAATGAAAAGTTCTATGGCTGCATAGCAATGCAAGAACCTTAATGAATATATAATATAGTGTCTGCTTAGTGCAGTGTTGTCACTTGGCCATTGGCCGAATTGGGCAAAAAAAATTATTTGACCGAAATGACCAAATATTCATATAGAAAAACTAGCAATATAATTGGTTAATGATATATAAGTTAGAAAATGTTGGCCGAATTTGGATTCTGACCATTGGTCGCTGCCTATTTTGGCCGGCCAAAGGCCAACAAAATTGTTTGTCGCAAGAAATTACCAATTCTTTGATTGATTTATCGGCTTCTAAAAATTGCTGTTTGATCTCTTCATCAGAATCATCTAAATCAATACATCGTTTGTCTAATTTAATATTACTATTATTGCCGGCTATGGATTTTTTCCA